TGTGATGCGTGTGGATCTTCTCATCCACTCTGAGACAGCAAACACCAGCGTGGTAGACTTGCTGGTGGAAGAAGGACATGCTGTGAAGGCTGAAGAGAGCTTTGACTCCAAGGTGACACAATAAGCAGAAAGAAATACTAGTTCTCTTAGCAGCTTAAGATGAAGTTTTTTCAGTTTTTTAAACTGAACTTAAAACAAAACTTGTATTGAAAAAAATACTTTAGCTAATTGAAGTAAAAATGAAAGCTAGAATTTTAAAGACAAACTATTTGGGATGTGTGGCCTCAGGTTTGCTGCATGTGCTGCAGGCAGACTGAGATGCATTGAGACAAAAAAATTTTAAAAATCTGTATGAATAGATCTGAAGCATTTTGTGCTTTTCTCAGTCAAAGTATTGAATGTTTATGTGCTCTTGCAGCAAAACCATGAGGTGCAGATGTCTCTCTACAAGGACATGGAGGAAGGTATATATGTGCCCAACTCTGTAAGCAACACCTGGAGCAACCGCAAAAAAGAGGAGAAGGAGCTCATCGACAGCCTGCTTACCCACTTTTCCAAGCAATCCCAGTCCTATTCCAGGACAAGGGTACGAAACAATCCAGGCAAAGTTTTGCACATTTTGATGCTTCTAAGAAGGAATCAGAAAATATGTTACAGCATGCTTAGTAAACAGGGCTTTAACAATTCTGAAACCAAGACTAAAAATGGAATAATTTTAATTTAGTTAATTGTCACCTTTGTGTTCCTGTGGTGCCTGTGCAGTGCTGGTAATTCCTCATGAAAGCATCCTAGTCTAGTAAAACTAGAATGGTTGAAGATCTTTAAGGTTTTGAGTGAATTGTTAGAAAGACAATATCTATAGCTAATAGGGGGTTTTGAATAACACTGAGTCTTTGGTGTTGAATGTGTGATGGATGCCACCGCCTTTTTTACTGTTTGCTGCTGTCAGTTTATCCAGAAGAGGGAGCCATTACAGTGGCTCAGTTCATGTGTTTGTGTTCATTCAGAGGCACACCCATTCAATGTGACAGCCAGAACAGTGACGACACAGTTTTGCATCACTGTGATCAGTGAATGCATCATGTTATGTCTGATTGCTGTTCCCTCTGACACTGCAGGTTCGTCTGCATGGACCAACCAGTCCTCATATGATGAGCTTCCACAGCTTGAGGAGCAACATGCTCTACAAGTAAGCACTACAGAGATTTAAAAAACAAAACAATACAAGAATATGTACCTACAACCACCCTCCCTCTGCCTCAGCTGATGATCACTGTATCCTCCTGCAGGACTGTATGTATAGAGAAGAACAGCATCAACTCCTTGGCTCTGAATGAAAACCCACATTGCAGACATCAGAAGATGCTGGTGGCTGGGACTGTGTCAGTCAGCTCCACAGGTACCAGATAAACAAAGTATCACAAGGGTAGTGTCCTCCTAGTCCTGTTCCCAAGACTATAAATTGGGGAGTTGCATCAAGAAGCTTAAGCTCTAAATTCAGCTTTAATCATAATATTTGTGACTTTGAAATATAAGCAAGGCAGAATATTAAATTTACACAGAAAGGATGACATAACGAGGTGGTTCAAATGCAGAGGTGCTTTAATGGTAAAAGCATCATCACCTCTAGAGTTCAACCTCGACTTTGGAACAGCCAAAAGCATCTGAGGCTGTAATTTGACTCAGAAATTCAGTATTTCTGTTTTAGGCCCTGGTCTCCTTTAGAGGTGATCAATAAAATAATGCACTAGAAGCATTTTGAGCTAGCTGAAGGTGACAGACTGACTTTTTATTTTTACCAAATAGAAGGGTTTGCTTTAATCTAGCCTAGAGAAAACAAAGCCATAGATGACTTTTTCCAGGTCACACTATGAGAGCATTGTTTTGATCTTGGCAATGGGTCTTATCTTATGTAGAGCTTTAAGGGTGTGTTTGTGTTGCAGGTACCCGTATTCTGCTGAGAGACACCTCCATTTTGCCAGACATCCCTGGACTCCCTGGACTTGTAATGATGCTCTTCACTCCCATCATGGAGCTACGGTTGGTTAAATGTGCATTACCGCTGCACATATATGTAAAGAAACTCACATTCTTATTTACCTAACATATTTATTTTTAGCACTGATGAAGAGAGAACCTGCTACACTGGGGCACTCTGTGGCTTGGGCTTCAACAGTCAGAAACAGGAGGCCATCCTGCCTGAACATGACATCGAACTGGCCTTTGATGTGAAGTTTGATGTTGACGACATCACTGAGGTAAATTTAACCTCAGAGACCGTTGTGTAAAATCATCAAAACAGCCACTCAAAGGATTCTGAATAGAAATCTTTGTGCATGTTTGAATAGTCAGTGTCATTTAGGAAGGTTCCTACATGGCAGGCATAATAAGAGTTTTTCAGTTCTCCAAATATTAAGAACGGCTTGCTGTGTGTGCCTCGGTGTTGGGGAAATTTTAGTATTTTATTAATCTGGTAACACTAACCATTATGTGTAAGTATGTGTGCGCTTTACTCATGCAGTTTGCTAACATTTGCTAATACATTAGCTCTCCACCCTTTCATCCAAATGTGATCCAGATGTGGTTATTTCTGTCATTAGTGCTAATGTTGAAGCTTGAAAATAGAGTCCTAAACTACTTTTTATACAGTTTGTAGCTATGCTTTGTGATACTGGCAGTGGTGTGTGTGGATGGTAGTACTTCAATTGTTTGTTTAAATGATGTGGCAACTGATTGATTCTTTGTTTTCAGATAAATGCTCTACGAATGGCTATAAACCACCTCGTGTGCGAAGGCCCCAATGGCACTCTGCATCTGGGGACTGACAGGATCAGCCAGCTGCAGGAGGACTGTCGGGACCGCCTCATCAGGTCTGATATAGATACATACTGGGGTTGTTGCTGGCTCAGGTCTTTGAGGGGTCAACATGCACAATTGAGGTATATATATATATACACACATACAATTACCCACTCGCCCTGTGGGTGCTCTTTATCCTCAAAGCAAATAACGCAAAAGCCAGATCAGCTAAAATGAAAAAGTATGACAGTTACCTCGAGTTTGGCTTCATCAAGAATGACGATGGAAAACCCAAATGTGTTGTGTGTCTTCAAGTGATAGCAAATCAAGCAATTAAGCCAGCTAAGCTATAGCGGCATCACATAAAAAATTACCCAGAGTTTAAAGATAAAACAAAGTAATTTTTTTTCAGTGAAAGGGTGTGGATAACATGCGTCAGAAAAAATTAATGGTGAACCTGATAACAACTTCAGAAAAAGTTCAGTGTGCCTCAGTGCACATTTGGTTTCAGATGACATGGTGGCATCCCAAACTGGCTCCTGAGGGTATGCAAATATTGCTCCCCTTTCCTGCCACTTACCTCTGTGAATCATCATTTTCAACTTTGACTGTGAAGTATAGAGCTCGTTTATAAGTGGAAGATGATCTTCGAGTCTGTTTGTTATCCATCCTTACAAGAATAGAGAAACTGTGTAGTGAGAGACGCGCTCATCCTTCTCACTGAGTTAGGAAATAATTGTTGTTGATGACTGGATTGACTGTGTGAAATAAAGCCAGATAAGGCAAAATTGCTAGATTTTTCATTTTTCTGCAAATAATTTTAATAAGGGCAATATGTTCATTGTGTTAAAATTTAACCAATTAAATAGTCTTTAAACTGCTCATGAAACAAAATGGGTTCATTTAAATTGTTCCAGTGTTTTCACTGTTTATTTTTTTGAAAGCTTTCAGATTTATTTAAAAAAAATGCTCTGAGTTTAAATACATCTTGAATTTGCCCTGAGTTTAAAAGTGTTCACGTTTTTTTAAATTTTGTTTTGTTTATTTTCTATAAAGTTCATAGTTCTTTGAAACAGATTGAGAGTATTTATATTGAAAAATTTAAAATATAAATAATTCCTACATAATCTAGGAGTACAAAAGGCAGTCTATGAGCATGGGGATTAGAAGGGGGTACATGGAACAATTTTACCCCTGTAAGGGGTCCCTGGCCCCCAAAAGTTTGACAACCCCTGCTCTACCAGAGGACTGGGAGCTTTTTCCTGATGGTCTTTCTTTAGGGAAGGCCAAAATGTCTTTGGTGGACAACCAAAGACATTTTGGGTTTTTTTGAAAAAGCAGTAAAAATGCTGAATTTTTAAGTTATTACTGTTTTTATTGTGCAGACTGTTCACGAAGTCTCCGCCAAGGGAAGCCATTGCTCCCCAGTTCTTTGAAAAACTGGGAAAATGGAACCAGGTAATGAGCAGATCATTGCACTTTTATTTATTCATTTGATCATCTGCTCTCCTTAGGCACATTTAGGTCCTTGTGCTTTAAAATATGCATTTATCCTGCAGGTGGATCCTTCTCTGAGGATGGACATCGTGGAGCCGAGAGGTGGAAACGCCAGAGCCGTTCTCTACCAGCTACACCCTGTAACTCTGCTCAACAACTAAAAATGATTGTTTAAGTATTTAGAAATGGTTTAAATGTTGCATTGTGATTTGGTTAACTTCAATTTTACTTTAACTGTTGTTCGGAGGAGGGTTTTTTTTTTTTCCCCACCCAAGTTTCAAGTCCAATTTTTGGTGTAGCTTTCATCCTAACAGGAAAATCCTTCTTCCTTTCTTCGTTTACAGTTACTTAGACACTTCCTGTTTAACTCGGTGGCTGCTGAAGTTCATTGATAAGATTCAGCCTCTTTGCCTTGTTGTGTTTCTGCAGTTGGTCATTAAAAATAGTTGTCTGCAACAGATGAAGCTTGTCAGTCTTCTGATTGTGACTCAAGAGTGAAGTTAAATTTGTCAGCACACACACAGACACACACCTGTCTCCTACTATTAGAGGTGTGGTGGTGCCAGAATGTATTGGCCTATATTTATAGCTTGTCATTCCAAGTCTCTCATTCTAAGTGTTAGCACCTTAAACTTAGCTGTTGTGTCACACAGAAATACGACTTCATCTTATGAACGTCAACTCATCAGTAAAGTGGCTTTGGAGATGTTTTACACCAAGGTACATTTATTTTTCTTATTCTTGTAATTAAATACATACTGTGAGTGCAAATAGTTAAAGAGTCCAGGGTCTAAAGAACTACAGAGTATAGTTGAACATAGTACAAAGTTGGACAGTTATTCAAACAAGCTAAATATCACCAGATACTCCTTGTCTTCATAAGTTGTACAATAGTACCTAAAACATGAGCGTGGGTATTGTTCCTTATGGTTATACAAAAGCAAAAACCCTACAATTACCACATCTAAGACGCATATCGTTAAATTATTTTGTGCTTGGAAACACCAAAAGGAAATCATTTTGGATATTTATATATATTGACATATACTGAGAGAAGCCCCATCTGCTAACTCAGAAACATGAAGCGGTATTCAACATTGGCAGCAGAGCACGTCTGTGGGCGTTTAGCCATTTTGTGCCAAACCGTACAGTTTGTGGTAAGCACTGCAAAGCAAAAAATGTAGCGTGACTTTTAAAAACTGCACAAAAGATATCAAATATTATTTACCCAAGGCTCGACTTCATGCACTTCATAATAAGCAACACAAAAAAAGTCAGTTTCTTTTTTTGTCTTCGAGTTGTGTACTTGTCTACCTAGAAACAGGATTATGTGCATACGTGTGACTGTGTGTGTGTTAGTGATTAGACTGCTATAGACAAGGTGAAGGCTTCTCCAGTGGATGCTTTTAGAGAACACCAAGATGACATAGCACTACGCCCCACAGATGACGACCAGGCTCTTTAACGGTGGGCCTGACTCCGAGCTGGACTGGACTGTCAGCTTCTCGGTGAGACACGTGGGTCTACTCCTCCTTCCTCTTGGCTCCAGGGATCTTTGCCTGGATCCTTGACAGAGAAAACAGGAATTTAATTTTTATGTTAACAGCAAGATGTTTACGCTGGATTTTTTTTTAATTTAAGGGGGGCATGACTTTGTGTGTTCTCTTTTTATGGTAGTCAATGGACCCAGCAAGTAGAGTCTGACTAAAATTAGCAACCTGCGTCCAGGAAGTGCATATTTAGGTATGAAAAGTAGTTACAAACCTAAAAACTCCTTGATTTTTGAGGGGTGTTGATGAGTTTATTTAACGAAACACCCTGGGCATAATGCAAACATCTGTGGCTTTTCATTTCTTCAAAAGTGGCTGGAGAATAGGTAAATTTGCTAAGCAGTTAGAATTAGTATTTTCACATCCCACAGTTTTGATATTTTTATCATTAACAATAGTATCTGATAATTTTAGTTAAATAAAATGTGTAATAGCATCAGCAAACCTATATTTGTTTTTCCTCATTTGCCCATGCCACAGTTTGAGAACCACTGAGTTGCATAAATATATGAAAGATGCCCAGTAGAAGTTCACACTTATATACTGGACACTGAGCAACTTTAGAGAAGTCTGACTGTGATCACTGAAAACGGCAGGTACTTCTCCTTCATTTGTTTGCAGTAGACAAACATGAAAATTGGTAAGTTGTAAACTTTTTTTTCCTTTTTTTGGCAAAAAAGTTCCTCAAATAAAATAACTGAATGGCAGCCACTCACTTGCCCACCACAGAGTTGACCTGGGTCCGTATTAGTCCCACATACTGATCAATTTGTGCCTAAAAACAAAAAAAAAGACTTTTTAGAAGTTGAGCAATGTTTTTTCCAAACCTTAGCTAACTTGAGTTGATGTGCATTCCTACCTGATGTTTCTCATAGACCACAGGCAAGGTGAACATGGAGACCACAGCTGCAGAGGCACAGAAAAATAATGGTTAAAGTACTCTGACCTGAAGTGGAAATATGTTAAAAACAGGAAAAAAGTTGTTTCAACAGGAGGCCAAGCACACCCCAACCACTTCCCTTATCTAAGGTAAGCTGGAAAAGCAAACACATGCATGAAATAGAGCAGTACATGCCTCCAATAAATGTATTTGGTGCTCTCTCATGGTGACTGACATGTCATACTTCTGTTTAGTTCGCAATATATAAGGCTCTGTACTCTGATGATTATTAGCCTTCAGATGGAGTGTGAGTGAGTCAACAGCAGTGCCTGAAAGTCAGGATGAGCTCACCTAGGATGAGCAGTGTCAGGCCGTTGAAGAGAGCGCCCACGTAGGTCAGGAGCCACATCAGAACAGCAAACTGAAACAAAGTGTAGTTAAAGTTAGAGCTAGCATATTTCTCAGCAGGGCTAAAAAGCAAACAGTGATCTTCTTTTAAATGTGATGCAAACCTTCAAAGAGTCAACCAGATCTTGTACAAGGAACAGCCTGCGGAGCTCCTTCATACAGGTGTTGGTGTAGAGCAGGATTTTGTCAGCATATTTACTAATCTGGTCCTGAGACAGAGCGATTTCCATCTCCAGGTAGGCCCTGGTAACATATACGAGAGCAGACAAAAGTGATACATGTCCACAGCCATCCATTATGTGAATGTCACTGACTGTTTAATGCAAACTGGTCATTTTCTTCAACTGTTTCCACTCACTTGAAAGGATGTCCCTCATCTGTCTTCTGCACAGCCTGCAGTACAGACTTGTAGATCCTGAAGCTGATGGTGGCCGAGAGGGCAGCCAGGGCTAAGTAAGCTCCGACACTGACCACACTGAACTGGGTCAGGGAGAAGAGGAGCAGAAGCACGCTGCTAAACACGGCCCCTGACTGCTTCACATTCCTCCAGTAGAGCAGATCAATCGCTGTGGACGGAAGGACAGAACAAAGGTAAACTGTGTTAGGATCCATAACCAGCATCCTTTAGATTCAATTGGTATCCACAGATGTACGTTTCACAAACTGGATTAGGCTGCTGCGGTCTACACACCACACATTTGGGTCAAATTACTGGAAGCTGTTCACAACCCAGGGTCCTCAGAGAGCTGTCACGTTATCTTGTTTTAACCCAGCTTCATAACCCAGCTTTTCATTAGGTTAGGCAGAATGAAGGTGTCCCAGTGACGGTGTGCCGGTTAAGTTTCTTTACCTCTATATATAGAGCGACCTTTCCAAAGGTAATAACTGACTTTGACTAGTTGAACAAGTGCTTCAATCTGTGTTGCGACACTCCAGGCCGGAGGGCTTCATTGTTATATCTGACGTGTGCTTAAAATCAGGAGCATCTGGTCGGGTCTCATACGTATACAAACATACATACAAACGGGCACGTTACACTCCAGGTACACCTGCACTGCCTGCTCACAGTGCAGAATTAATGATTGACCTATAGCTCATTGAACGCAGCAGCAGAAATAGAAGCACTATCAGCAGTTCACAGATAATGGCTCAATGTGATCTGGTCAGAGCAGCAGCTCTGGATCATGATGAAGGATGACGATGCATCAGTATCTCATTAATGCAGTAAAACACAATGATTCCTGTGAAGCACGCTCCCTCATACAGGAAGAAATATTTTGGATATACACATACCCCCAGGATGTCATATGTCTTGCTGCACTGGTTTCCTTCTGTTCTAGCCTTCTTTGGGTGGTGGGCCCTGTAATTTAAAGCCACTAGCAAAGCAAAGTGATAACTGAGGATTAGCTCAGTGTACCATTACAGCTCCAGCAGCCGACGGGTCCTCCTCTGGCAGTCGGCTGGAAACATGGGCTTGTTTCCATGAGAACTGTCGGCTGCTCGTTTCACCTCTGCTGAACCGGCTGCCCCTCCACTCCAAGCACACCACTACCACTGCGAGCCAGACAGAACCACTATAGTACGGACACCATTAAATCCTTGATGACATGCAGGGAGAACTGTTTAATGTAAGGTATTGTGCCCACGAAGAACAGAAGATCGCTGCTGGGGTCTCTTGGGTGTCTTCCTCTGTGCTGTCCGCCTGCCTGCCTGCTCGCTCTAATTTTAGCTGTGGAGCTGTGAGCAGCATAGTGATGACGGCCATCTTTACTCTCCACTAAAAGGCATCTGTAGATGCCAAAGAGGGAGGCTAAACCTGGATGTGAAAGAACGACCATTGTGACTGAGTGAGTCTCGGCTCCGTCACACACTGTTCCCACACTGTGAAACAGCATGTCTAACTAAAATACATTACAAAAATGCTCAAGACCTATCCCAAACAACACCACCACTGTGAAATCAAAGACTCATTCATTGTCACAGCAGCTGCACATGGACCACTCCCCATTCGATCCATTGTTGCTGGCACAGCTCTCCATGTGGCTACTGATTTGAACGGAGATGCTCACATTCAATACACAAAAAGACACACACACACATGGGCAGGCACAGGTAGCGCAGACAAATCAACAACAGACATTTCTGCTCGGGTGACAGGTGTTGACAAGGCAACAGCGACTGAGGTCTGTGATGCGCCGCACAGATGGCACGCAGACTAAAAAGCTTTAGCTGCAGCAGAAGCGAGTACTGACCTGCGGCTCCCATGGCTGAACAGGGAAAGAGGCAGTTGCTTTATCCACGGACAAAAGGAGAGCGGTGAAAGGGGAGTCCCCCCCCCCTGCACAGGAGGGGAGGGGCTACAGCCACACTAGCAAATCAGCATTCGCCTGAGCAGGAATGGGGGCTGAGGGATGGAGAGGGACGTGTATGGGGTGCGGTTGCCAAAGAACCACATTGCAATCCAGCACACACACACACACACACACATGCAAACACACACTCGTTCTCTGTTGGAGTGCTTTTATGCTCAGACTTTAAGCGCAGACTAGCTGAGGTGAGACAAAGAACGTCAACCAGCCACTAATTTAAAAGTCAGCACATCAGAGTGGAAGAACCAAAAGACTTAAAACTGTACGATTTGACTTACGACAGCTAATAATCTTCCTAGACTGCTCCATTAAAACGCTTTGGTGGCATGGCGCTGCTGAGCACCTGCCTGATGCAGTTACCATAGTTACCATGCTCCATTTTCTCCCCACCGTTCAGTGAGAGATGGAGAGACAGGAAGGGAGGGGAAAGAACGTTCCTTTGGGAACAGAGAGAGATTCATTTTCTCCGAATCTGGGGAGACATCGGCACATAATGTGTCTTTGCACCCGACATATGAACAGCCACTCCCTTTATTGTGGAGCACAAAAGGACAATAGCAGGTTAAATAGAAGGCTTATGGGTGGACAAGGCTGTGTCAGTGTATAATGAAGAGAAATGAGTGTTTAAAAGGCTTATACATTATAAGTCGACAGTTAACAACCACATTACGAGCAAAATTAGTGTTTGAATTCATATTGATCAAAAGACACTGTGTCTCTTAAGACGCTAAAGCTTTGGCTCCTACACATTTCTTTTTGAATGGGTGAATGAGAAACTTTAAGTGATCTGTAGAACCACAAGTGCAGCCCATTCACCAAAAGCCTGTTTAACAGCTTAGTCTGATATTCATATAAAGGAAACCCTTTTAGGTATGATAGCACGATGTAAATCCCAAGTACAATGATGATGGGGGGGGGGAGCTGATTGAATGTACACAGGAAGCACAAATGCTGCCTGACACCCCAGTCTGATGATATAATTATTTGCTCTGATATTGAACACAAAGACTGAGCAAAAAAGAACAAAACAGAAAATGATTAACACCAGTGCCAATAATTTGATTTCCCATCCCCCTTTTTCTGTAGTGGAGCTAGTTTAGCCTGACCTCATTAAATCACTGAAGACATCCTGGTGGCCTGAAATGAGCCATCAGCCAGATGGAAAAAACATGCAACAAGACTTCTGTTGCAACCATCTTTCACAGCCGACAGTCGGAAAAGATTTGGACCACGGCCACTGTAATTTGGACTTGGGGATGGTACCTCATCATGATCATTATTATTCTCTAATATTGGTTAATATATTAATGCTACACTTAGGAAATGAAATTGTTGCAATAACACAGCTCAATGACAACTTAAGACTGTTAAAACTATCTGAAAGCAGACACACCCACACACACACACACACACATATATATATGCACTGTGTTCATATCAAACAAGACCAACATATCAAAGAGTGAGGTTTGAACTAATAGCTCAGACTTCAGATTGCGCTGACTCTCAGTTTTAGATATTTTTTTCTACTCTTATGATGAGAAAAACAGGTGATGGATCTTTCTGATGTGGTCATGTCAGAGTCATATCAAACCCCACACATCTGCTGTCCAAACCTTCAAACTTTGAGGGTCATTCAATCACAAGGAAGTTGGCTTGAAAGGTGAGCTAAGGGGCTGCACCGAGGCCCAGTGTAAGATTAAAAAAAGATTATTATATAATTTGAAAAGCTAATACAGTCTTGACAGTTAGTTTTAGAGCTGCCACTAGTGTTCTTAATTTTAAAAACGCTGTGACTTTATAAAGTTAAATTCTCCAGGTGTCAGCAGATAGAAAAGCATCCGCAGTGGGGAGAATATATTTTGGCCAACAGTGTGCATTAGAAAACCCATAAGCTGTTTTGTATACCTGTCATTTTTAATTATTTTGATTACATCATGTATCCATGACTCACCCCTGGACAAGCCTACATCATAGTTTGATCAACCCTGATGAGTTTGGTGGCAGTGAATCAGTATTTTGTATGGCAATGAGAATGACTACACAAAAATGCCTACAGCTTCAAAATGATGATGCACAGGCATTTAAAAGGAGAAGATAAATCAGCTCACTTTCATCCTTTGTTGTGCTGACTGCGGTGACTTAATTTGATGCGATCTTGATGCTGTGTATCGTTCGCATCAGGCTATAATGTTACACAGCCTGGGGTATCGATGTAGATCAAATTAAATGTATAATGACTCAGCACATTAATAACAAATAGGATGTTTTTGTCATCCTGAATCAGATACTGTTATGGTCTCTGCTGTGATACAATAAACAGACCAGTCTGTCATGTTTCTATGGCTTAACTAGACCTAAAAAGAGGACAGATAATGAACCACAATCGGCGTGGAGGAAAAGACGCCATTTTCTCTCTCGGCCCCCTCTGTAAGCTCTTCCTTGCTGTTGGCACAGACGGCCGGAGGATGCTCTTCTCCGGCCCAGTCTCTGCAAGGTGCCATGGCGGCCAGAGAGAAAGGGCTGATGTAATGGGACTGGGTGCGCCCTGGTTACCATGGAGACAGTCTGTCAGTGCCATTCGGATGCTGTGACTGCCTCGTTACACAAAACAGAGCATCCGCCATAATAAACCAGCTTCCCTACACAGTCGCAAAGCGGGGAGGGTGATTACAGCAATATGCCTTGGTCCATGACACTAGCATCCATATTACCATGCACCCAAAACAGATGGCTCCCAGCACACTGGTGAGGATACAGTTATTTTCCAAAACACCAAGCATCGTCTCTCACCCCCCTCCCCCTCCCTTTGTTTTCCTTTTTTTTTTTGTGAGATGCACAGACATGAAACAAGAAACGATCCGTCATAAGGGCGTGTCCGTGACAAAGGTGGAACAGCAAACGGCACAGTTTGAATCCCGTACGCTTACAGCTAATATGTAACATGCAAACCACACATGCAAGGGTGACACACATGAATGTTTAACCTACATGCAGAAATAACCATGTTACCCCTCCACGGCCACAACGTATGCACAGACAATAAATGAGCAAATCACAGTAAACACGTCAGTACCCTGGCCTTTCCAACTGCTCCAGGAGCATTCCTTCTTGGTCACGTCTGCAGCTCCCTGCATGCTGGTGATCAGTTTCTGTCCCTGTTCTCTCTCTCTCTTGCTTTTCTCTTTCTGCTCTCCGTTTTCTTCTTTGTCTAGCTCCTCGGTCGCACCGACTCACTCACTCATCCCAGAAAGGCATGAATGGTCGAAAAAGGATGCGAGAGAGAGGCTGAGACGACAGAGAGGGAGGAAGGGAGGGAGGGAGGAAAGGTTTCCAAGGTGCTGCCGGCGCGCGGAGCACAAAGACTGATGCTTGTGGAGCGGTGCTGGCTAGAAACAGAAGGAGAAGGGAAAGTGCGTATGTGCCTATCTGTGTGGAGGGAATGGAGTGGAGGGGGGTAAATTGTAAACACCACACCACAGTTTCTGCTGCAGCAAATCATCCATGCAATGATTAAGAGCCCGGGGGGGTTTGGGGGGGGGTGGTGGTTCTTTCCTTTCACAATAAACGTCCTAACAGAGCATCTAATTTGTAATAGTGGGGGTAAAAGCAACGGAAGACCCTGGATGCAGGGTCACGTGGTGTTTAGAAAACTGCTTTTGTCGTAGCTCCAGTGTGGCATCATATGTATTTGAATCATTTGCAATATGCGCATTAAATATAGCACATACCACATGCTGTGCAGCCTTAAATAAAGAAGAAAAAAGGGAATTCTATAGTCTGATGTCATGCTGCACACCAGACAGGATGCAATGGAATATTTTATGAGCATTGAAAAATATGGCAACCATCCAGATTCGTTATTCTGTATTTGCACATGACACAATTTATGATTGTAGCCATAGATTAAAATAGCCTTTTCCAATATGACTCACTGGCAAATTAAGAGGCAAAGTGCTTGTTCTTAATAATTCATAACAAGAGACACTGTGCATTTACAGCACAATGCTCCTTGCTTAGTGCCTTCAGGATGTTTGTGTGTTATGGTTTCCTCTCCAGAACACATTTGTAATGCAAATGAAGCTGGAAAATGTGACAGAAAAAAGCAGGAAAAGTTGGATGTGTAAAAATGCAACTTAAAGAGCACAGTCATTGTGTGGTGTCAACGTTGAACAGAAAACAATGTGCTAATACCAGTTTTCCATCCCATCAAAGCTGCCAGTCCTGTCCCCTCAGTCCTCCTCCCCTCCACCCGCTGACAGCCACACCTCACACCTTCTGCTTCCTACAAGCTTGACGGGCCTTCATGCCAATACCCATGGAGAGGAAATGAAAAAGCTAACCTGGTCCCCCATCGCTGTTGCTATGGCAACTGGTATGGAAGTGCATGGACTGATGCAAACAAAATCTTCTCCCCTTCAACACAGCCTAACATAACAAAGGTGCACTATGCCCTCTAGTGGTGGAGATAAAAAAAAAAGACCTGACCTGCTTTTTACTAGCATTTCCAGAACCTTCTTCTAGCCTCAGTAAACAAAATAAAACAAATGCATTCAGCTGCTATGAAATGTGTCAGTTTACATTTTAAACATGCAGCTATTCACCTGATTCAACCAGGGTGTCGGTACAACCCATGTTTTCTTAGAGGAAAACCACAGAGGAACCAATGCAGACAAAAAAAATCTAAATCAGAGGTTATTTTATTTGCTCTACAAACATGGGGGATTCAAGAGGATTCCTTCAAAGCTCTTAAGTAAGAGAGTGCCCCAGTTTTGACATCAAGGATTATGTAAACCCGCTGTTTACACTGACAGCCAGAACAGCCAATAGAAATCAAAATAGCACTGCTGAGATCAAAAGGTGCAGGCTATCCAGCATTAACTGCTCACTGTGAGTGGCATGTCTGACTTATCTAATCTCAGGGGGCTGCAGGCTGATGTGTGAAGCCAGATGTTGTCAAGATGCTGGAAGGCCTCCACCCCCTCCTGCACATTTGTAATTCTTATCATTTGCATCATTAGAGTCACAGGCCTGAAACTGTAGCTGATGATTTTCAGTTGCCTTGCATTTTAAAGCACCATATCCTTTCTCTGTTTTTCCTTCTATACACCACCAGGGGGAACCAATTGTGGGGATAGTGCAAGACAAGCCTTCCCACCCACTCCTTGTACAGAGATAAACACTGAGCAGTTATTTCACGGCCTTGTCAACAAATCATCGCCAAAACACGCAGTCCATTAAGTAGCTTCTATGATAAACACCAGCAGATAAATTAGTACTTGTTCCATGAGCTGACAGCTAGTATTTAAGATAGGAGCATAGCAACAAATAAAAGATCACAAATAAGTTATAGGTTTGTGTGTAAACCTAAGAAGATATAACAGCAACAGTTTTAGGACTCACCTTTTTGTTTATCAAAGCCCTCCAGGAAAGTTGATGCAATAGGCTTTCCCAGGTCTCCTTTGCCCTCGCTGGTGATTTTGTGCATGTCTTCCTGGTGGGGCTTTTCTGATCGCACCTCGGGAGGCACGGCCGCAGTTGGGGGCTTTGGTTTGCTAGGGCGATCCTCCTCCCTTTTCACTGGGCTCTTGATCTTTTCTGAAACCAGGGGCTCAACGGGCGCCCCCTCAGTGGTACTGCGGGGAGGGACAGTGCTGGGAACCAGGGGGGAGGGAGGGCTGACTCCCTGTTTGGGGCCACTGAAGCCTTGCTCTCTCTTTGGGCTTTCTTCGGACGCGGACTCAATGAAGAGATCACTGTCAAGCTCTGCCTCCCTCTCTTCCCTCAGTATGCTGTAAGCTGTGGGTGGAGCGTGACTGCCAGCGAGGCCTAAACCACCCTTGGCAACTGGGGGACTGTCAAAGGGGTTGTTAGGCTGGCTGAACGTGCCCTTGCTTTTAGGTGGCTGGGCAAATGGGTTGCTACTGGCCTTAGGAGGTTCCTCAGACACCAGCTCAATCTCAGAGTCCCCAGACTCTGCGCTGCTGCCATCATGGTCCCTGCCACTGCCCTTTGTGCCTGGGCTGCTTTTGGAAACTGCATCAGACTTGAATATGTCATGAGAGGGGAAATCTTTTTCTGCTCACAAAGAAATCCAGAGAAAAGAAGGCATTAGTGTCTTCCTTGCAAATCTGGACACACAGTATGTGCATACATGACTTGAAGCTAGATTACATAACTTTTGAAAGAATAAATAAAACTCTTTTCTTTTAGCAAATAAAATCTGTCTACAAGTGCTAAATGTTAGCATTTTCTCCTATTAATATGGTAATTTGCACACCCCAGCCACAGTGAAAAAACTTAACCTGTAATTCTAATGTGTGTGTGTGTGTATATTGATGCTGATATACCAAGCTACAGACTTTTATCCATGTAGTGCATTCCTTTATCTGAACAGGTGAAAGGTGTTTGTGTGTGACTATGTGCTTTGCCTACTTGTTGGTGAAGCACTGGGAGTGGAGGCCGGGCTGTCGTCCTCTGGCTCTGACAGCGTGACAGTGGGGACCCCCTGTATGCCCACACTGAGGACGCTTTCACGTTCAGACGCATTGACTGAGGGGGGGTGTGGCGGCGGCTCTGCCTTAGTAGTTGTTGGCTGGGACTCGGTCAAAGTGATCTTCACCGGGCTGGCCGTCTGTGGCGTGTCGCCTAGGTTTCGGTAGGAACGGTAGTCTCCCAGCTCCTCATCAGATGGCTCCTCAACATAGGGGAAAGAATGGGAGCCCAGTGCCGGACCTAGATTTTCTTCATCCTCATCTCTTCTGGGGTTCTTATCAATGTAGCTGCCCAATAAGTCATGTCCAGCTGAGCCTTTGTCCAGCAGGCTGTGCAGAGCCCCCTGTTGCTGGTCAGGGCGTTCGTCCCCGTGGCTGATGTCCATGTAGTTGTAGGATTCTGTCTTATCTGAGCCCAGCAGAGATTTTGCTGCATCACTAGCTTGGCTGGAAGTCATCTTGGAGCTGAAGCTGTAGGTGTCACTTGAGAAGTGATCCAAGGAAGAAGAACCTGAAGCGTGGCTAGAGGGCTTCAGGTCGTCAGACAGGTAGGAGGCTTCCTGGCCCGTTGTGAAGCTCTGATTGGACAGCAGGGAAGTGTAGACATCACCATCATCATTCATAGGCTTCCTGAACAGACCAGACATGGGATCATCTACAAAAACAACCAGACAGACAGAAAGCAAGAGCGAGAGAGAGGCATGAAACTTAGGTGACAGATAAGTGTCACACAGAATCAAACCAGCCTGTGCCTGAGCAGTCTGATTAATGAAAACATCCAGTTAAACAAGGCTGCGCTTCAGCTGGATCTGTTGCCAAAAAGAGGGGCTGTGAAAGCAGCACAGTCAGACTGGGTGCCTGTCTGTGCAGATCAGGAGGGATGCGGTAACAGAGCGTACTTGTACCCGACGAGGGACAAAGGGAGATTGTTCAGGCGCCCCCAAAAAACACAGTGTCGGAGCCAAAGTCTGTTCTAAATCATGCCAGCAAAGGGTATTCTGTAATCACATTTCTACTCTGTAATCACCAGTTCTCCATCTTCACAAAATAGTGTCATCAAAATGAGCTTATGCACACATGCTAATGATGCAGCACAGGAACGGTGAGGACCAGGCAGGAAAATAACCAGTCTCACATAATGCAAACTGAAGTGGTAAACAGGTGATTGCTGGCAGGTGTGAGGACTACTCCCTGCCGTCTTTCTGGACTGTGCTGTGTGTTCCTTTGTGGACTGGGCTGATTTATCCACTTCTGTGGTAGTCTGAAAGGTTTTCATCAGTTGCTTCTAGTCACTGTAATGTATATTAAGACTGATCCATGAAGATATGGATAAGCAGTAACAAGACAGAGGTATGTCCTTACGGGCAACTTCTGCTTATATTAGGATTATTTAATTTAGTATTTTAGCCTCCCATTACAGAAGTGTAGTCCTGTCCTCTATTTCTACTGCTTAAGCAGGTGAGTCAACTCAAGTCAGACATGAGCTGTAGTTGGAGTTGACTCACTTTATAAATTTGAATATCCATGCTTTATTAATGTGGTGTTTTAGTTTATATTGTAATGAAGTTTGCTTACTGATCGGATACTCCCAGTGCTACAGCAGTGGCTTGTTGGCTTCCCACAACCATGATGTTTTTCACGTATTTTAATATTCCATAAATGTTTTTTAAAAATTTTTTAATTATTTAATTTAATATGGTTTTAATAAACACCCATAACAATGACACATAATGTCACATAAAACAGGAAGAAATGTCAGAACATTAAGGATCAGGAGCAAAGGTCAAGTCAAGTATTTCCATTTCCTGACTTTAATTTCAATTCAGTTTTATTTTTATAGCGCCAAATGACAACAATTGCCTTAAGGTAGGACGAAGACCAACAATCAAATGTCCTACTATTAGCAGCACGTGGTGACAGTAGGAAGGAAAACGATCCTTTTTTTCCCATCCAGGAAAACCAGGTTCAGGGAAGGGCAGGGGACAGGGCAAAACTTTTAATAAATTTGGATCAACTGAAGAATTCATGTCAAGCTTCCCAGTCTAAATTGACAAAGAGTCCCACTTCATATAAAACTGCAACATCCTCCTGTCACACATATTGAGACAATGTCCGACATTTTTATTGGTTCTACTTTATAAAAGTAAACGTGGCTGAAAGAGACACATCTGCAGGTCTATGGATACATCCCTAACCAAACATGTCTGGATAGTTTGTGTATTTCTTCAGTTTCAGCTTACCCTTTTTTAGTATTGTTCCACTTTGTCCCACACATGTCTACTCTTTGCCCCACATTTAGTTTGTTGGAATCTGTTCACCCTATACCAGTTTTAGTTGTGCAACATGTGTATAAAATGAACATCAGCAATCACAGTAGTCCCACAAAAATACAAACTATATACCATATAATGTTAATATTTGTATTATGCTGTGTACAAGTCAGAGTTTATGCTTCCACAAATCCAGCTCCTCCCCCCTGCTCTCCCGCCCTGCTTCTCCCAGGGCAGCGGTGAGGCTATAAATAGGCTTGATCCAGCTGCCGGGCTGGATGAGGGGGTAAGATTTTAAATAGCAGCCTTCGGGTTAGCTCTGGAGGATGCAGACTGACTGACAGAAGACCCAACAGGTCAGGACGTCCCGTCCCTCCCTTTGCTTCCTCTGAAAAGCCCCGCCACCCTTTCCTTCGGCTGTCCTTCCAACTGCTGCTTCCTCAGTCATTAACAATACATCATACCGCAGTACAGGGACATAAACACTACACACACAAACTGAAATACAGGGGAAAGCGTGATGTGGCATGGAAGGAAAGCAAAGCAGGTCAACATTTTTTTCAATAGGTCGCTGTTGAGCCATATTCAGCTCAGTAACATGAATGCCCTTGATGTACTGCTAAAGTGAAGCAACGTGTAATCCTCTTAGTCCACTACTATGGTATAGGTCCCATCAATCGTCCCACAGGCAACAGCATCATAATCTTAACACTCACTGATTCACTGTACAAATGCTGTGCAGTGGGAAGCACTTAAAGCCACTAAAAACTGTGAAGCGAGGTCATCTCCCAAACTGGGAACTGCTCATGCTCCTGTTGATTGTAGGCAACACCCCCACTGCTTCCATCTATATCAAGCATTTTTACATAACAACACAGGAAATACAGTTCAACAGCACGTTCAACAATTAAGAGGCTTGATTTCTGTCTTTAACCGCCATGAGAGCAGCTGCTCTGAGCAGCCGCTTGACAAACTTGGTGGAGATTGAGGGCATTTTGAATCTGCTGATCTGATATAGCACCCAGACAATGAAAAAAAAAAAAACCCCACAAGGCTGAAACGAATGCCTTACTGCAGTTGGGACAGGATTGGAAATGACAACAGAGGAATTCTCAGCTCACACAACATAATCATGTCACTGAAAGGATGGCGCAGTGCTGTGAATGGGCAGTCCCTTTGTTGTCCTCTGTGCAGCCAGTGCAGCTCTGAAACTAATGCAGCCTGACAATCTGTGCTACACCAAGGCATGGGCTCCTAATTATCAGGCAACACACAAATGTGAGCACAGATATCAAAAGGGTTTGGAGTTGCAACATGAATATATTAGCACTGGAAATAAAGGGGCACTGAGCCGCCTATACGGCAGTCATTCAGTGTGCAATAAAAACGAAGAAGCATTAAAAAAGGAACTTTGAAAATGAGGAGATGCAAAAAGAAATGTTGCTTTTTCCCCCCACAAAGCATGCCTACAGACTCGAGCATCGTGCTGCCTCACTCCTTGCAGGCAGCAGTGCAGGAAAGAGTCAAAAGGCATGCTGCTGATTCCATGATCCATAGAACAAGCTGGACTGACATTCAAAGGAGCACTTTGTCTGTCTGTCTGCACTGTCCGAGCACACAGAGACCCTCAATAGTCCCAGTCATACAGTTAGTTTCATAAGCCTTTAGACGATGACTTTTTGGGGGGAATTTATGCCTCTGTACAGCCCACAGTGGATTTGAGATTTAAAAAATAAATCAAGAGGTGATTGGAGATGGGATTTCACCTGTAATTCAAGTGCTTTAACTAAAGTACTGGATTAACTGCTTAGGAATTACAATTGTCAAATTAAGCAGGAACTTGCATTTGGCATCACTGGAATTCTCAATATGAGGTCCAAATAGATGTGGATGCAAATGAATGCAAATACAAATCGTATACAACAAGTTGAAAACTGGTTATACTCAAGAAGAAGGAGGCCAGAATGGAGTTTGCAAGAAAACGCCTAAAAGAGAGAGAATTTGTTTTCAGATGGAACCAAGATTAACTTCTACCATAATAATGGGAGTAGAACTGTATGGAAAAAACGGAGACAGCCCATAATCTGGAGCATACCATCTGTCATGGTGGAGATAATGTTATGGTATGGACATGTATGGCTGCCAGTGTAACCGGGTCACTAATGTTTATTGATGCCGCGACTGCTGATAAGACGCAGTAGGATGAATTATGAAGTGTGTAGGGCTGTGCTCTCTGCTCAAATTCAGCCTAATGCTGCAAAACTGATCTGACAGCTCTTCACAGTTCAGATGGATAAATACCCAAAGCATAGTGCAAAAGCAACCCAGAGTTTCTCAGAGCAGAGAAATGAGATTAGGGCTGGGCGATATGGCTTAAAATCCATATCACGGTATAATTTGAAGCACGTGCAGTAACGATATATATCGCGATATATTCGTTTCTTCTGTATAATGTATTTTCCACACAATAAGACACACTTAAAAACTTTGGTAAACCTCACTGCTTGATGGATTGTTAGAGCATTACGGCTGCCGTAGTGAGGAGCTTCGCGGAGTAATCTGGGTCCAAAACTCCGTCCACTTCAGGTCCCAAAGTCAAACTAACACTGAGAGTTAAAAACGGTCTAAATTCTTTCATCTTTAATAAAATCATCAGCGTTGCTGCTTTACCAGGTGTAACAATTAAGTTTAACATCCAGGCATCGATGAAAACAGATTTATTAAATTCAATGAAGTTACAAGTTAACAGGAAGTTAGCTCGCTAGTCACCTAAACATGACATACCATGTTCTGACTGAGAGATTTTTGAAACTAATTAAAACGTACAGCTCTGCTACAACTTCCAACATAAATGAAGACAGAAAACTAAACAGCAGTGGCGTTTGCAGGGTTACTGAAGTTGGACTACCTGGTATATAATGTTGTGCTACGTGATTGCTAGCGACACAGCTATGTTAGCATAACATTAGCACAGTGAAGCTGGAGGATGAACGCCAACTTTTTTCCACTCGATAAAAGTTAACGTGAGGGATTCTGGTGGTTAGAGACAAATGCAATCACATAGTGGGATGCTATACACGGGCCAAACTTCAGTCAGGAGAACAACTGAGATTATTCATCCACAATACAAAGTTAGTTATTAATATACTGCAACAACATGGGAATAGAACAGCTGCGAGGGAATTCAACATTAATGAATCAATGTTACGGAAGTGGAGGAAGCGCAGTTTTTGGCTTTCCCCATATTTCAAAAGTGCTTCATCTCTTTGCTATGACTGTCGTCCGGCATAATTTGCAGATGATAATGGTTGTAGCTGCTGCGATGCTTTTGACCAAAACAGGCGCCGCTTGATGACATCATCAACATGCGCTATCGCGGTAGACC